TTTTGTAGTCCACGGGGACCTTACATTGACTTACATTCATTTCCTGTAGACTAACCCTAACCTTAACCAGAACCACTACTTGCCTAATCCTAACCTTAACCTCATCCTAACCCTAAACCATGTTGCCACCCTAAAATTCAATTTCTTGCCCATGGCGACCTCAATTTAGGTCCCCACCGTGAAATGGGTCCTCATGAGTTGGTATGGAGTCAGGAAGAAGTCCCCACGTAGCAGGGAAAACTCGTCCACACACACACACACACACACACACACACACACACACAGTCTCTTTATGGCTGCCGCTTCAGTCTATTGTATTGCATCAAAATAAAGTTTTATAGTTTTATTGATCAGCTCCATATATACCTGTGCACCCAGCCTTCTGGGGCTTTGTCCTGGTTGATTTGACTGATTTTAGCATATACAGTGTCACTGATATCGGTATATCAGAGATACAGCGACTCAGCTTTCTAGAAAATCTCATGGACAGGAAGCACTCGACCACAGTCTGGAGTGCCACAACAGAGTGTGGACATGTTTGAAAAGGGCAGGTTTCAGGTGACTAAGTTAATTTGCAAGAATTTCTGAACATGCTTTGACTTTGTCATTATTAGTTCCTGGGTGTAGTAGACTGGTGTTTTTATCCATTTTAACACTAGAACCGCCAACAATGCAGTACCTCCTAGAACAGCTGGAGGTCATTTTGACCTTGCGCCACTTCAGGCTTTAATTGCAAATTTGAAATCTACTACAGGAATGTTGGGTCATTTTTTCAAAATAGCATGCAAAAATTGATGAAATAATAAAACATCAAAATTTTATTTCTTTTATTTTAGCAATATAAAAATATAAATTCACTTTGGTTAAACTATCAGTGGAAAAATACATGTAATAAAATATGAGAAATTGGTCAAACAGATAAAAACATTAACATTGCTCATAAACACTGAACGTTACAATAATAACAGTCCATTGCTTTCATGAGAAATAAACATGAATTCAGAAATATTTACAAAGAAAGAGAGCCTTGGTCAAAAATGTTTGGGAACTACAGGCCTATTCCGCTCCAAGCTCTGCCACACAGCTTACTCACAACCAGCACAAACACTGAAGACCTTGACAGTACGCTGACCACACACAGGTTGCCAGCACTTGACGCACAACTTGACAGTTTTTTTTTATTGCAGGGCATTTTGACTGTATACTGCCTTTGCTTCTCCTGAGGCTGCTCTACCAGTGTTTGTAGGGGCAGTGACACAGTCTCAGTTGCCTCTTTCATTTGCATGTGGTCACTGCATAATTCTTTACACAACTGCAGAAGTAAGTCGCGCCTAGCAAGTTTTGCTTTTGCGCAGCTCTGGTAAAGAATGCATACATTGATGCCAGCCAGGTCCAACATGTTATAGAACAGCGGTCTTCGGTACTGCGGGGGGATGCGCAACAATACCTGTATGTAAACAATGTATAGTAGCAGCCGGTGATGTGCCGAAAAAAGCACCCCCCGTGAATCCCTACGCTCAGGGAGAGGGGAGGGGCTAAGGGAGAGGAGAAAATCAAGGGGGTGCTTTTCACAGCAGGGGTGACACACTGCTAGCATGGATGCGTTTGTGAAAAGAGAGCCAAGGAAGTGTAAATCTGGTGGTGCATCAATGCCAACAGCTTCAACGAGTGAAGGTACCAACACAAAGAGTGGTAATCTCACATCTTCTGCCCCGTTTTGACAGGATTTGCAGTGCAAAGCAAGCCCACACCACTCACTGAAAAGTGTGCAGATCAAGACCTAACTCTTGCAAAAAATGTTTATTTCCATGGATGGCAAAAATATTTAAAATAGGAAAACTGTTAATCTGTTGTTAACCTCCATTGTGTTGTTAACCTTTATTGTGTTGTGTTGTTAATAAATTGCAGGCAATATAAAGAAAACTGCATTTTTAAAAAAATCTGTGTGGGGTGGGGGCGCGGAAATATTTTTATCCACAAAGGGGGGCCCAGCAGAAAAAGTTTGAAGACCACTGTAGAAGATGACGACTGGCAGGTGGCGGCTCTTGTGGAGTATCGTCTGATCATTTTATCCAGGACATGCACTCCCACCTTGGTCTTGATATAGTAGTGCACTGTGTCTGGCTGTCACTTTCCACGTTCACCATCTGGTGCATTGTGCTGAGGATGCACACATTTTTGTTCACCTTCCCCTGATATATTGAGTATTGCCTTGTCACTCTTCATCACTTTGATGTCATGCAGTAGTGCTTTCTGATGCACGGAAGATGGGAGTGAACGCCTGTTTTTGTACACAGTGCCTACCAGAGTGGTGTTCTTTACTAGGAGTTTATGAACAAGGGGGAGTGATGTAAAAAAGTTGTCTGTAGTGACGTTTCTCCCCTTGCCTAGGTAAAGCCGCATCAGGTTCATCACTACACTACACTCATTTTGTATCTTGGTTGCCTAGCAACACCTATTGTTAATTTTGGAAAGTATGTGTGTATAAGAATGGGGGATTGTGAGGCATTAATGTAAAATGTTTTGAGCTGTGTATTTGACTGGATATATAATTTATATGGCTATACAAGTGCAGTCTATTTACCATTTTTGCATTAGGAGTAATGGAGGTCAAAATGACCTCAAAGCAGTTCTAGGTAAAACCACTCTTTTTTTCTCTTTTATTCCAGAATCCCCAAAACGCATAACATGATGTGTAACACACTTTTTGGAAAAGTCATTGACTGGGAGGCATAGGGTTTTTATTCAAAGTTGCATGCATTTTAATAGGCAAGAGAGGTCAAAATGACCTCATGGCGGTTCTAGTGTTAAATAAAATCAACACAATGTGTGAAGGAATCTGAATGCTTTCTGAAGCTACTGTAAATGTATATAAAACACATGTAAACGTGTCTCTGCCAGCAGCAGGGTGGTGGAGGGAGCGAGGATGAGCCTCAGCAAAGACCTCCCATCTCATCCTTACTGACCTCAAAGCCGTCAGTGGCCTCCTCTACCGACATGCTCAACAGTAAGCTGTCTCAGCTCAAAGAGTCCAGAGAGCTGTACCAGCAGGAACACAACACGCACTCCCACTCCCCAACCAACACACACACCCGCTCAGCCTCACCGGCGACCAACCTGGACGACTTGAAGAAACGTCTGGAGAGGATAAAGAGCAACCGGCAATAAGGAACACCACATCACCACCTCATCTCAGCTGCAAAGCCTGTGGAGTTCAGCTGGTTGTAGAACATACAACATCCTCCTCATTAACTCACTTTGCATTTGCGTATTCTTGTTCTGGTAGATGGGAATAGAAACACTTGGACACTCAAGCCGACCCCTTTGTTTCAACCAATCAGGTAACAACTGACAACCACCTGCTTAAATTTGAACCTGACCCCACCCACTGTGCCTGTACAATAACAGAAATCAAATGCACCCTGATCTGATTGGAGGTGAGACTGAACCGATGTTCTGGCTGGAGTTTTAAGCTACACACGGTGCAGAAACAGTCCCAGTTATAGCCTCTTTTCAGCCAACAGATGCTTTATTTCAGCATCATTGTTGTTTTTAAGTGTCAGCTATTGGACGAGAGAGCTGAAAGACCGAGTCCAGGAGTGAGTAGTGTTGTGTGTACAGGATCACAGTCAGCTGACACCCACCCCAGTCCTGCCCTGCCTTTTCTCCACTCTCCTGTGTAGACTTGCCACTGCATTGTTAGTATTGATATACTTACCCCCCCCCCCCCCCCCTGTTTGGGCTTCGTGTTTCGGTCAACAGTGTTCTTGTCCCTATTTAAAAATTAACCACTTCACTGTCATAAAGCGCTTCTCATGTGCTTGCAGGAAAATACCTTGGATGGAGATTCTGAAGTCGGATGTGTAGCTGTGTGAGTGCAGTGTGACTGCGCCCTTGGTTCAGCTTGTAAACTGGGCAACCTGGTGGTTCAGAACAGCTGCAGAAAGTTTACATTTCCTTTGTCAGTAAGGTCAAAGTTACTGGCAGGTGGGCGATGAGGCAAACAACAATTTTACTCTTTCAAGTGCACTTGTTGCAAGCGTTTGATTTTGGCCCAATTCAGACCTTTTGCTGTGTGCTTAGGATCACAAAATTAGTCACATCAAGCTTCAGCTCCTTGTGGGGGTTCAAACTAGCAAGGCTCTAAAAGCCACTGCTGTTCGTTGATACTGAACAAAGTCTGTTTTAAGCAGCTGTTTGAGGGTTACATAGGGAACGTCCACTTTTATTTTGAAAAAACGTGGGCTTCTACTGAGCATTTGTTTTTTCAGTCATCCTTCAGTTTAACTAGGTTAAACGTTTTGCCTCCCAGTGATTAAAACCTGCAGACATGGTGGTACACAGTTGAAAAGCACTGTTTTTATTCTACAGAAGTGGCACAGTCAATCCACTGTCACTTTTAAGCCACTCAGTGCTGAGAATCATCTCCTCTAATAGCAAGCAGAGTGTTTACAGGTGTGTTTTTGTTGGATGGTGCTGTGGGCTGACATTTGGCTGTGCATACTGTATGTAACATCCTCTATTAACTCCCCGTTTCACTTATTTAACAGCGGCTGTGGAACAGGTGTCCACCATGGCTGTCACTGTAAAGTGCATTGACCAGACTGGTTATATATGTACAGCTCTTTATCCAGCTGAAGGAAGGCCACTCAGTCTATAGGCTGAAAGAGCATGGCATGAAGTCCATGATTTTTATTATTTTAACCATTTGTGTAAATAAAGTTTGCATTAATGAAACTGCTGTTTTAAATGTCATTGTTTTTCTGATGAAGATGACTGTCCTGTCTTTCATCTGTTCTGTAGTTGAATGTTGAACAAATTAAAATACAAATAACATTGTTTTTGTATTTAATTCCAAAGTCAGTGCTAGTCTTAACATTGTTCCTCTCTAGCTTTCCTTGTATAATCCATAGTGCAAAATGGCAATAAAGTGTTTTTTGTAGTAATCCATCTTTGAGTGTTAATCTTATTCATCTTTTTGTAAAGTAAAACAACTGCATCAGTATATGGTTTGTGCTGTGTGTATCGTTTGTGTATTTATTGTCATCTAGGCCGACTGCTTCTGCATTGCTTAGCATCAGACTAGTGGAGTGGAAATGATCAAACTAAACAGGTGGCACCTCAAAACTTGCAGCAGCAAAGTTCATTATTCCACAAAAGTGCCCTTTAAGGGAAGTAGCTTCAGTTTTTTGTGGGGGGGCATCAAATTTAATTCTTTCAAATTTCCTGTTTAGAAAGGAGCAACGTGCTTTTTCCATGTATTTATTTCTCCAGTCAGACATTCTGTCATTTGGAAGTGCTGGGAAATTGTTGGCTGTAAACATTGAACCTCCACTTACAATAAATAGTGTCCATGAAGCAAAATAAACTCTCTCCAGTTTCTGCTAAATGCTCAGGGCAAACTGCGCATTTGCTGTTTTAAGCTGTTACATTTTTATCAACTTCACAAGATTAACTTGTCTTCTCGCTTGTTTCTCTGTCAGTCTTTACATTTAATAGAAACCCATGCTAAAGAAGGCTCACCTCTTAAAATTCAATTTAATATAAGCAATTGGTCAAATATATCACCATATAATGACAGTGGGAACTGATCTTGTAATATAATGGTCATAGTTATGCAACTAACCTCGGATTCAGGAGGAACAATGCGGTTTTCGGCCTGGCCGCGGAATACTGGACCAGCTCTATACACTCTTCAGGGTGGCGGAGGGTTCATGGGAGTTTGCCCAACCAGTCCACATGTGTTTCGTGGATTTGGTGAAGGCATTCGACCGTGTCCCTCGCAGCGCCCTGTGGGGGGTGCTCCGGACAGAATTTCTAGGTGCAGTCAGGGGCTGGAGGGAGTCCGGTTTGGGGACCACAGGATCTCGTTTCTTGCTTTTTGCAAATGACGTCTTGTTGGCTCCATCAAACCTGGACCTCCAGCATGCACTGGGGCGGTTTGCAGCCAAGTGTGAAGCGGCTGGGATGAGAATCAGCACCTCCAAATCCGAGGCCATGGTTCTCAATCGGAAAAGGGTGGCTTGTTCCCTTCAGGTTGGTGAAGAGTTCCTGCCTCAAGTGGAGGAGTTCAAGTATCTTGGGGTCTTGTTCACGAGTGAGGGAAGGATGGAACGGGAGATTGACAGGTGGATCGGTGCAGCTTCTGCAGTAATGCGGTCAATGTACGGTTCATCGTGGTGAAGAAGGAGCTGAGCTGTAAGGCTAAGCTCTCAATTTACTGGTCAATCTACGTTCCGACTCTCACCGATGGTCATGAGCTTTGGGTCATGACCAAAAGGGCAAGATCCCGGATACAGATGGCCGAAATGAGCTTTCTCCACAGGGTGGCCGGTTGCACTCTTAGAGATAGGGTGAGGAGCTCAGTCACCCGGGAGGAGCTCAGAGTAGAACCACTGCTCCTCCACATTGAGAGGAGCCAGCTGAGGTGGCTCGGGCATCTGTTTCGGATGCCTCCTGGGCGCCTTCCTAGGGAGGTGTTCCAGGCATGTCCCACCGGGAGAATATATTTGGCTGATGAGGCTGAAGTCAAGGCAGTAATGTTGCTCACATAAGTCTTTAGCCAAGGTCACAACCCAAATATGTTGCTTAAACAGGCTGCCTCCTTCTCCAGCTGCTTAGTGTTTTCAAACAATACCCCATCAGCTGGATGAATTGGATCATGAATTGAGAATTTGAAATGAGACATTATGGGTTCTAAATACAGATCCTTATAATGAAATTTAAGAGTTTGGATCACTATTTGAAAGAATAAAAATATTTGGAAGCATTTGTTTAACCTCTGCCATGGTGAAAAA